CCCATCACTCGCACAGGCAGAAACTGCCAGAAGAAAGAACAGCTTCATAATCCCCTGAATAAAACTTCCAAGTGCTAATTACTCAAAGATGCAGCAAACTCAGCCCCGCTCACACCGGCGGCAGACACGGCTAAGGAACAGCCACGTGAGAGGAAATGGCCTCAGGTGGCACCAGGGGAGGTTTAGATGGGATATTAGGAAAACCTTCTTCACCAAAAGGATTGGCAAGCATTGGAAAAGGCTGCCCAGGGAAGCGGTGGAATCGCCATCCCTGGAGGGATTTAAAGGACATGTGGACGTGGTGCTGAGGGACGTGAGTTAGTGGTAGGTTTGTCAGTGTTGGGTTGATGGTTGGACTCAATGATCTTAAGGTCTCTTCCAACCTAAATGATTCTATGAGGTCAATTGTACACACTGCATCATACAGTTAGCAGTAGGTTGTCAATACATCTCGGTCTCTAATCTTACAAACATAGAATCACAGAATGGTTTAGATTGGAAGGGACCTTAAAGATCATTAAGTTCCAACCCCCCTGCCATGGGCAGGGACACCTCCCACTAGAGCAGGTTGCTCAAACTTCTTCTTGTCCTAAAACATTAAGTAGTTACGAAGCTGCATTTGCATCACAATATTCCAGCCACACCAGTCCACTCTGCAACCCCATCATATCGTGGTTCCAACCACCTGGACACCAGAGTTGTAAAACTATTAGCTTCAACGGCAATGTAAGTCAGGATCTTAGGGCATACCCAGAGGGAAGAGAAGACAATCATCATTATCACACTATTTATAAGTGACAAGTGCTTCAAGAGGCTTGCATGCCAGGAAATTGCAAAGACCCTGAGAAGATAATGTTGGAAACTCAAATTTTCTTTAATTTTTAAAATACCAAAGAGTTATTTGTGCAAAAGTTGAAGCCAGCCCTTTATTGGTGGTCCCCAGGCAATAAGATCTCTCTGCAAATGTCACATATTTATAATGTTGTTTTTTTTTTTTTTTCTTTTTCCTTAAAGCTCCAGCTTTGAAAGTGCCCCTCTGTGTATCCCTGAAAGCCAGACCCAGGAATTTCTTCTTTACAGGAAAAAAAAACACCTCATTGTTCTTAGACTACACAAGTGGGTCACTGAACTGTTGCTCGCCTTTGCGATGCCAGTGAATCCAAATGAGCTTGACTTCCACAGAGGATATGGGGAAGGAAAGGAACCCGCATTAATCAGAGCAACACAAGCAGCTCTTCCAGAACAAATTAGCTTCAACAGTCAGCACACAGAGTCCTTCAGTCAGGGTGGCCAAGCTGAATTTAGGCCAAACTTCGCATCAAAAAGAGTAACTGGTTTAATATGTATCGGCAGAGTCTGAGTTTGTTTCTTTTTCTTCCCCTCAACCCACCTGCAGGAAACTATGAACAAACCGAGCAAAGTAAAGCTGCTCATCTGGTCGTAGCCAGCCCTCGGTGTGACGTTGGTCCCACCTAAGCTTGTCTCAAAGGCAGGCAATGAGACCATCAGGTGTCTCAATCCCCCTTGTCAATAAAGGGACGGGTGATATGCATGTGATTCATTTTCCTTTGAAATTTTTGCCTGTAATTGCTATCATCTGGACTTTATAGATAGAAGAGGGAAAAGGCATCTCCAGAGGCAGTCATCTGACCTATGTCAGACACAGAACCATCATAGATGGTTAGAGTTGGAAGGGACCTTAAAGATCATCTAGTTCCAACCCCCTGCCCTGGGCAGGGGCCCCCTCCGCCAGACCAGGTTGCTCCAAGCCCCATCCAACCTGGCCTTGAACCCCTCCAGGGATGGGGCAGCCACAGCTTCTCTGGGCAACCACTGTCTCACCACCCTCACAGTAAAGGACTCCTGGTATCAATATCCAATCTTAATGTTTTCATCTGCATTTTGACCCTTCATGTTTCTACAGACAATGCAGTGGCCCAGCATAACTGTTACCTGTAGCAAAAGTAAGTTTAATCACAAACAGTGATTTTGCTAGAAGAATTTAAAATGAGGGAGAAAGAAATCTGCTAATACTGTTAAGAAACAAGTATTTCTTCCAAAGCTCTGACAGCTCCCAGTAAACCTTTTATGTCTCTGGGATGTAATACCATTTTTGCTCATGGCTAATTACAAGTTCATCTGCCCCATCTCTCTAGCAAGAGACACCCATCAGCCTTGTTCAACCTGAAAGTTGGCCACCACTACTTTATTTACCATATACTTCCCTCATATGTTCTCCATTATTGTTGCATGGTTTTGTGGTTTGTTTGTGGGTTTGGTTGGTTTATGTCTTTTTTTTTTTGTAGGTAAGTGAAGAATTTAGATGGGGGCCATGAGACTTCACACAAAGTAATAAACCACTACTGTTAGCACACACATCTCAAGACTGCAGGAGCGCCTTTCAAAATGTAAAATGCAGACAAAGAGGCTCAGCAGGAAGATATTCACATTTGTTTAAACATTTCTATCATTGCAGGGAACCTAAATGCCTTATTTTGTACTAGTTAAAGAAAAGCTATTTACTCACGCTTTGTTATGGTAATGTACAGGTTGGGACTGGTGCTCCAAGTTGTAATGCTGAAGTGAGTGCACCGCATTATATGCAAACATTATGCTAAATAAACAGTCACTTAATCTTTATTCCTGACAGAAATCCGTTCATTAAGGTCTACAGTAGGTCTTAAGCTTGAATGTCTCAGCGATGTTGACATTTCTGATTTCTCAATTTATGTATGCATTTGTCAATATACTCATAAGACTACCACATACACACACATATTCATATACATATATACATATAAACAGGGATAAGTAACAAATGTATGTAAGGAAGTCTGCATTTACAGGACAATCACACTATATTAGAGGGCATAGGTAACAGCCAAATACATTAATAAATTGGCAGTTTAACAAAAGAGCGCAAACTACTCAGTAAGATTTAAAAAACAGTCTGTGCTTTGAATCTCTGAGCAGCAGAGGAGAGTGCAGGGAGAACTGAAAGGGTGTAAAACCACGGCAGCTCCCTTGAAAGCAGCTCACCCACAAAGCCATCCGGCTGATCGCCCTCCCAAATCCATCCTAGAAACTTCTCAACCAGCCCCAAATCGCACGCAGGACCTGGCAGGATGACCTATATCCCACCCTGTTATCCAGAGGTATCCAACTGCCACCAACATCACTTCCCACAAAAGCCCTTGAAGCCTGTCTGCCCAGGACTCTTCTTGTCACATTATGTGGGACAATGTCCTTTTGGATGTAAGATGAGCAGATATCAAGGCACGTAACAGAGAAGGCATCAGATTCTATTTGACAGCCCCCAGGCAGGAGGCCAACAACTGCAGTCACAAAAACTTCACTCCGTTTTCTGTCCATATCTCAGGGAACCTCACGAAAGAGGTGACAGAGGGCAAGCTGGACTCACACACATTTCTCTAGTGATCCTCAACCAGTAGCGTCCACCATAGCTACCTGTCCTCTACAGGACATCTGCATCGCACATCTCCTCTGCCAGCAGACCTTTTCTAAGTGATATTTGTCTATATTGACTTGTTTCATGGGCAAGGGAGACTCCAAAGTGTCTTCCCATAAATACCAGTCAGTACATTTATGCTCTTAGCGGTGGTTGACTCACTAAAACTGACTATATCTTCATTTTGATCAACACATTTAAGGAATAAAGTACCTCCTAACTGGGCAGGCTATTTCAACAGCTCCTGCTGGCTGAAGAAAGCGGATCCTTTACACTGTGCTGCCTTCATTTTCTGCCTGACTACTCGTTGACCTTCTTAGGCAAAATTGTCATTAACTCATTTGCAGCTTTGCGATCGGCTTTACTGTCAAGTATTAAATTTATTCTTGTCTCATTTTAGACTTCATGCAGTAAAAAAACGCAACAAGCTATTTTCAAGGCAAACGCAGGATTAAATGCAGGGGTGACATACATTATCTTGAATACATGTCTGCCTTTAAAACCAAAACGTAGTGAAGACCACACATTCTCTGCAATATCAAAGTTCCACAAAAGTTGTTCTTATTACCCACAATTGGTAAAATATGTTTGACCAGAAAATGAGCTGTAGATAATTTTAAAATCACATTAATCCTTTTCAGTAGAGTAAAATGCCTGCAGCTCTTAGTTCTTCGGTCTGGAGGCTTGCCCCAGACCTTCAGAACTCATTGCATCCAAGGACCAACAAGGAGGCACTATGTACCGTCATGGACTTCAGCTCCATTTTTGTCAAAACAAGACTCCAGATACATGAAACTCACATTGGACTTCAACAAACTGACTTATGATTGAGGAACAAAGAAAACCAACAGCTTTTGTTCTGTCAATCCAGTGCAAGCAATAACAATTTTTCCTTTGTTCGTTTTCCCTCCCCGCTCCCCTTCATCCCTAGAAAGTACTAAGTATAACCATCAAACGCTTCTTTCGGGTCAAGCTATTTTCAAAAAAGATTAATATTTTTGTGTGTGTGTGCTTTATTCTTGCTCCAATGAAGAAAAAGAGAAAAAAAAAAAAACAACCAACCAAAACCCTACCCTCAAATTGCCTTTAAAAAGTGCTGAACACCATTCCCATAGCCATTATTCACCAACTACATCAAGCCTTTTGACAACTCAGTTATTTTTGAAAAGCGCTGCTGCCTGATTATGGGGAAAGACTCCAATAAGAAGAACATATACACTTAAATGATGCACTTTTTATGACGTCTTTGCAAGAACATCAGTAGCTAATTGTTGAGTTTCCTACTGGTAAATGTCTCTTTAATATGCAGATCTCTTAATGACTACTCTGATGCAAATTGTCGATGCTACGGTAATTTAATCATAGATACAAGAAAATAGTTTAGGTCTTACTTAGAGTATGCTTTATCATCTTTCCAGGTAGCACAAATCCAACGTAGGCCATGTGCCATGGGGTTCCCAGCTGCCAAGTGTGCTCTTTATTTTAAATACTATTACTGAATGTATCCGTAGGGGTTTTTAGTCCCACTTACTTGGTGCTGACTGGCTTTTGCCAACTGCTCATTGGCTGACTCTACATTAGAAGATGCAGTCTCAATGTTGGCTTCAATACTATCTGCAAATTAAGACAACAGAAGATAATTACAGGGTACAAACCTCAAACAAAGCCTTTATACCAACAGCAATTCAGTAATTCACTCATGGGCATAAAGAGATGAGCAGCCTCTTGTTTGCAAGCTGTAGTTCTACAGGGTAATAGGAACACCACACTTTTTGATGAACATTTAACCCACCAGTCAGAGACTGACAGCTCTCCATGTGTTCCTAGACAGGATCATAGAATCACAGAATGGTTTGGGTTGGAAGGGACCTTAAAGATCATCAAGTTCCAACCCCCCTGCCATAGGCAGGGACACCTCCCACCAGACCAGGTTGCTCAAAGCCCCATCCAGCCTGACCTTGAACACCTCCAGGGATGGGGCAGCCACAACTCTGGGCATGAAGGACAGAGGTCAACACCTCATCCCATTCCCACTGAAACCAGGGAGAAGACTGACAGAGAATTCAAAGGAATTCAACTGAAGGCTGGTAAATTTACGAAATTAGAGTCAAATTACAGAAGGGACATGGCAGATTGTATCCCAAATTAGCTCAATATTAGAGCTCAGGGGTAAGATTTATTTGAGTACATGCGGGTTATTGACCACCCCTAGGTGTCTGTACTTGAGCAAGTCACCTTGGACACTATCACAGTCAACAGAGAGTAAGTCCATATTTTGAAATTCATCCCACTCTACAGTAGCTGCCTAATGCTGATCAGATGAATCACAACCTAAACTCCTGGATCACATTTTGAAGCTGAAAGAGGGGGGTTCTGTGCAGATGGCAACAGATTGAGACACATTGCTGGTACCTAAAATTAAGGGAGAAGAACATCCCCCTAGACTGTGAGGTCTGACACTGGGGCAAGCTGGAGGAACCATGAGGAATCAAAATGAGACTAGAAAAGAAAGAATATCAACTACACGTTGCAGCTGGCAGGTCCCCACTTCCATCAAGGACAAGTATCAACTTTGACTCCAGAGCTGTGCTTAGAAAGCAAAACACTTATGCCATAAAATCTTCAAATAAGCGTTTGTGTTTCCAGCAGAAATCTTAGAAATCTTGACCAGCTTGTCCCTGAGAGTTATGCAGCCAATAGTTTCTGGCCACAATGAAAAAGTCCGTGCAGTTGATCTGTTTCTGCGTGGTTTAGAGCAAATATTACACCATGGAGTATATGAAAACAGTCAGGAGGAATTCAATCACGGGTAGAAATCTGAGAATAAGGTTTCGGGGATTTCTCTAATCCTTAATAAAATTAATGGAAATTCTTCAACTGATGGTATTAGGACTTGGATTAAGACATGCCACAGAAGATTTAAATAATTTCTTCTTTTATTTTTTGAAGGAAAGAACACTAATCAGATTGGCCACTTTTGTGACAGACGAAGAAATGCAGGTTTGCAGACAAACTGCAGAAAGTGGTTGTGTTCAGGTTTTGCCATTTTTAAGTGGAAAAGTGCTGCAAGTCTGTTAATGTAATTCTGCATTTCTGATAACTAAACTTAAAAATAAATAAATAAAAAAACAATAACAAAAAAACCCACAACAAAACAAAAGAGCAAAGAAACTGTAAATCAACAGAACCATGGAATAAACAAACTTGAGCTTAACACTTGGAAGCCTGTTAGAAGCCTTGTATTACTCCTGGGAGAGGTGGTTTTCCACTCCTTTTATTTGAGATTATGCAAGCTGTAGTACACAAGAAAAAAGCCATATGGCTGGCACTTCTATAGATTGATATACCATAATTTCATTGGCCATATCCAGTGCTTCTCAAAACATTTTTATGAAGACTTTAGCACTGTGGACCTTGTTTGGCATCACTGACCTCTACCCAAATGCTTTCCTTGCACTCAGGACTCAGCAGGAAGAGATCAAAAAGCTTCTGAGGAACTCAACATCTGACTGTGAAGAAATCTAAAATTTTCTTCTGCAGAGCCTTAGAAGAATTTCTTACACACACACACACACACCAGTGTGACAGCCTGGAAGTGTTGGTTCCAGTATTGCATTGATCTGAAGGCATTTCTGGGAAAGCGTCAGATTTTTCTTTGCAATACCAGTAGGAAAAAAATGATGCTGAATTACCAAAAGTGATGAACAGAAACATGGATGGCACAACAGCACAGTGCAGTGAGCAGCATTTTTTCCATTTGAGTGGATCTGCCCAGGGTCTACCTCAAAGAGATGTGCCTGAGAAACAAGTTGTTTCTCGTGAGTGAAACACGGTGAACAGATTTCAACCTGTCACTTGATAATAATGAGGTCTGAGGTGAGTTTACAAGGAAAACCCTACCACAACATCCACACAAGGGCTATCACCATCAACTGGTATCACACTCCTGTATAAAATAATAGATGTCCCAGCTCCAGGTCTAGTTCTAATGCCTTTCCAGCCTAGTCCTAATGCCAGACATTGAAGCTGACCCACAAATCAGTAATTTGTCATTCTACATATTTCACAGGAGTAGCAGTAGAGGGACATTTGATGTTTTCAGGTTAGAATTGAGAAATAGCTGAAAAGTGGTAGATCTATGGGCTAGACTGGCCCCAAGGGACAGCGGAGTGCTTTCTTTCTCTGTTTGCATGTTCACAGAGTGCTGCGTAATTAGCAACTACAAGTCCTGGTCTAATTTCCATTAGTGTGTAAATGAACCTCTCTGCATATGGAAACAATTGAGCGCAAGGCAGAGGAACCAAAAGGGTTAATATGTCATTAACAGAGACAGGGTGCATCCGCCAGAATAACTTGTCACTCACCCAAGGTGACAAATTCTTAGTCGTCTAATTATTGGTTGGTATTTACTTCTCTGGTTAAGCATGACTACATGAGGCATAGTCAACCAGATGTTTACACATTCTGTGGAAGTCTATAAGAACTAGATACTGGGACACCACCAGTTTGCATCAACTGAAATCCAGGCCCTGATCCCTTCAGAGGAACCCAGCTGCCTGCAGGGGGGCCTTGGATAAAATTAAACACATTAAACGCCCCCTTAGCACCGCATGGAATGGGCTGATCATATATTAGGCACTGTGTTTTGCAAACATCATCTATATTTTTCCCAGCACAAGTAGGATGGACACGTGCTACATGTCCTGCGTGAGTTGCTGTGATGTTACAGGAAGAGGCTGGACCCTGGTGGCCACGTTTCTGCTCACTTGTTCTCCTCAGGGGGGAATACCAGCCTTGGAATAAGCAGACCTCCCATTTGAAAAAAAAATAATAAAAAAAATTGAAGTAACTTGTAATCTTGAGGCACAGGGGGAAATCTAAAATAATCAAAAAACCACCAAAACAGCTCTAAAACTCTATAAAAAGGAGACATAAATATGTAACACAATTTAACCAGATATTTCTGCTGATTAACACAGGGAAGCAAGGGAAGGAAAGAGAATTGGGGTCAAATCACATGGAAGTAAGTAATAAGTCAATGATGTTAATGTGTCACTCCCAGCTATTTCAGTGCATCTTTGCTGAACGCTGTTGGTGGTTCAGAGCTTCACCTTGCTCACTTCCAGCTCCTTCCTAAGGTACCTGGCTTAGGGATGGAAAAGGAAGTTAGAGATATGGTTTAGTGGTGTTTTTTTCCCACTAGATGATCTGAAAGGTCCATTCCAACCTAGACAATTCTACAATTCTAAGTATTTCCAGAGGGGCAGTAGGATCATAGACAGGAAGAAGAAAAACTGCTGGAGGGGTCTGCCTTTTGCTTTCTCCTTTGGCTTCGGTACGAACAGACAGGATTCCATTCCCAAATAAGTGAGATAACCCAGTCCTGGGTCTGGGATTTTCTGAAGAGCCTGAATCCCACAACAATTTTCTGTCCTCAGTCTGTAATGACAAATTTATGGTACAGTTTGAAAACACACAAAAACCTTCAGGCGATGCAATCGCCATTTTATTAAACTGAGGGACAGGGCTGCACCAAAGCAGATGGTGGTTGCAAACAAATCCACCAAGGAATTAGGAAAAGATTTCTAATTTTCTAGCTAAAGCACAACCCTTCCGTAGGAGTAGTGAAGCTGGCAGAGCTAGCCAGCTTTTAGATGTCATTTGATATGATTTTATGACACATTTGTCACAAGAGACAGAAGTCACGATGGCCCCAAGAGGTGTCTTTCAATCCTATCTATCTACCTGTCTTCTGAGATCCAGCCCTGCTAATGACCAGCAGGAGTCTTAGACGTGAAATTACTGCGGTGACAGTAGTTGGAGTGGGGTTTTTGTCCTAACGTATCAAGGAACCACCCGTATGACCCGAGTCTTTATAGCAGCAACAATGGACTGGTTTCACAAGGCAGCACTTTCAGTAAAACTTCTTGAAAGACAGGAAAAGTGCCTTGTGAATGAGAATTTTAAAATGCTCCTGTTTGGCAGTAACCAAAATGGGCCCCTTTAGGTTTCACAGTACGCTTTTATTTTTAGCACTTTAATAAGCCTAACCCTCTTTCATCACTATAACTTCTGGCTAAAAATAATCAATACAACATATTGAGAAGCACAAAAAAAAATAGTATTTTGGTAATGTAGAAAGGTTTATTTCCCAATTAAAAGCCAAATTTGGGGTGAAATTGCTTCCAGCACACAAAAGAATTTGGCCGTTTTAATTACCATGGACTTGTAGAGTTTTTAGTGAGTCTCATTCCACAAACAAAAGACCCTCAGGATCTCTAAAGGCACAACTGTAGATGTTAAGGGGATAGAAAACTATCTTCTAATTTCTTCTGAAATGAAGATTAAAATGGCTTAGTGTTGGTCATTTGCAAATTTCAGTGTAAACGATAAGTTATAAATTCCACACAAGAGGATCTATGAAATAATCTTTCCCATATGCTAAACTAAGGCTAAATGGGTCACATTGGCTTATACTGGTGTAAAGAAATACAATTTTCAGCTCCATGAGTCATCGGGAGCCATGGTTATCGCTTCCAACAAAAGGCAGAAAGCACCTAGCTTTCTATTTGATTTTAGCAGAGCTCTAATTCTCCACACCATGACCCTCAGAA